ATTCGCCATGCAAACATCTCAATATTGATATTTTTTTATTATTATATGTATTGCTATTAAACCTGATCTTTTCAAATTAAATAATCAATATTACAGTGTGTATTTAATTTCTTCTTTTTAGCCATAGATATATGTAGCAATGTCACATGCCAGAACGGTGGGTCGTGTATTCCTAATCTCGACACATGTAGAACATCATGTACAGGCTACAGGTGTGGAACAAGTAAGTTTAGTTTTGAAGCATGGTTACATATACCTAAGACTACTGCATGGAATCTATTTATCTGTTCATCTCCAAACCTCATGATCTTGTATACAACAAAAAAAATAATACTACAAAACGGTTTATCCGATGTCAAATGTAATTCTTTTATAACCTTTGAAATATACATAAATAAAAGTAAACTATTAAACCAATATAGGAAGGAGCTGGAAAATAGTGGAAACACTAATCAAGTCTAACCCCTTCCCACAGTTGTATATATCGCTAAATCATAACATGGCTATGCGCTGATGTTTTTAGATTATTTTTAATATTTAATGCTTAAGAGATATTTGTTTCTTGTATACACATATATTTAAAGGTTATGTAGTGGTTGCTTATAGAATACGGCCTTCTAGCTCACATATTTTCTGCTAAAGATGCAGCATGGCGACAGGTTTTGCTGTGGCTAAAGAGGCGATGCGTGAGTTACAAGCTCTCCTACATTGGTTACAGGTGTATGTGACATCCATGTTGCTTTCCATGCCAGTTTTACATCTGATCTTTCATTTTATGCTTCTATACGCGAAGCTTCACTTACCCCTGTTAAGAGATAGTGTCGTAATGTGGCTTTCCACTCTACACGATTTTCTGAAATTTCTTTCAAAACATGATGTTGTAAAGGTCAAGTGCTTTTAAATCACACTTGCACACATCTTTACAACGCATTTTGGGGCGACCAACTAATTTATTTCTTGATGTTATTCACCATAATATATGTCCTTAGGTATACGACAACCTCCATACGGCGCAGTCGACGTTGCTGGAATTAGGTGTCCCAAGTGCAATAGCAAAACATGTTGCTGGTTCACACGATCTTTCCAGAAAATTTGAAGAATGCATCGCAGTCAGCCAGGGGTGGCGCCAGGGGTGAGCCAGGGCCCCCGTCTAGGACCGCTGCCCCTCCCCAGTCGAGGAGAGAATTCGCAATTTGTCGCAGAGAAAAAAATGTATTCTCTACATATTAGTAGACAAATCCTGGAATGTAGGTAAGAATGGCCCCGGAAAAAATGGCCCAGGAAAAAATGGCCCAGGAAAAAATGGCCCAGGAAAGAATGGCCCCGGTAAAAATGGCCCCAGTAAATATGGCCCCAAGTGAAAAGTAGGTAAAAATGGCCCCAATGAAAAAATTCAGTAATAGAAATGATAATTTTTTTTTAATCTTCAAATATTTAAATACTGTAATAAGCAAGAATTGAAACAATAACAAATACAGTTACACAACAGATGCAAATAATAAACCGAGAGATTATCAGAAAACAACGGCCATTAAACATTTTTTGATAGTTGAAATAAGTTTTAAAAACGTTATTCCACTAACAAAGTAGAGAAATGACATACATACAGTACTTCAACTACCAAAATATGCAACTCATAGATAACCACAAAATTCAAATTTTGTTAAGTATCAAATGAAATAACTTTACATGTTATAAACAGTGCAAATAAACAGTAGTTAAAGCATGTGGATCAATTGTGTGTTTGAATGACAAGTTCATGTATGGGAAAAGGGAGGCTTACTTTACTTCAACAAATGTTCTGCTTAGAGTTACTTCAAAGAAGTATTGTTAATCAAATATTGTTTTTAAAGTAAACTGAATAATTAGGAATACATTTATTTAAGCAACTTATTTAATTGCATAGGCCTACTTGGTTTCTACTCCCCGCAAAGTAAATTTAAGTGCCTAAAACTATACTAAATAATGTAAACTGAGATACTATATTATATACATAGTTATGTAAATATGGCAATTATGCTAAGAATTAAAATGGCGTGTAATTGTGAGGGTAAAGTAATTATGGTAGGATGGTATTGCTAAATCCCAAAAACCTCCTAAAACACACTGTAGAAAACTAAACAATTCCATTGTGATTGCTCACTTGGTATATCAATAAGAAAATTAAATATTTATAAGAACCTATTTTTTGGTTAGAATGTTGTGAAAAAATACTTGCAAATACACCACAATCCTCCAAACACACTGCGAGCCCCATCAATACCCTTTAATTACGATTGTAGAACTCCTTTTCTATATAAAAAAAAAATAATAATAATTTGATGTTCATATAAACTCATTGGTTGTGGGGTTTACCAATACCCGGATTGAATTTCTGGAAAATTGTGATTCCGCTTCCTTGAAATTGGCCACAAATAAATTATTTTAGAATTAATAAATGCATGATTTATGTTGATTTATTGATTATGTTGTTGCTATTTTTTAACATTTAAATGGAAAAAAATAAAAAGTGCTATTCATGGCTTTTTTTTATCTTTGAATATTTTATCATTGAATATGTAATTTCTGCAAAAAGTAAAATGTAAATGGCAATTTATTTGATGTTAGATTCCTTTTAAAAACTAAATTATTTCAGTTTAAAAAAATGCATATAATGATTTTTTTTTAAATCAGTTTTAATACAGAATTTTATTATTGGGACCATTTTTACCTATCTGTCATTTGGGGCCATTTTTACCGGGGCCATTTTTTCTGGGGCCATACGTACCATACACCTTTCAGAATATACAGTGTACAAGATTTGAATATACAAATATGTTGTTCAGTCTGTCATACACTCTCAATTTCTTTCTAAATAGAAGAATTGAGAGAAAAGCATGTTTTGTCTTTCATTTATTTATTTTACCATAAGCATAAGCAAAAATATGCAGTAACTCTGAGGAGCAGCTGCCCCTGGTGGAATTTATTAGGATAAAACACATACCAGTGGATTAGATTAAATAGGGATGTATGTTTGTAAGGGCCCGTTTAGGAACTTTCGAAAACTGGATAACTCAAGCCTGAGGTGATAATTAATCATTCCTCAACTAGCTAAAAACATCTGGACTTTCCGGGCTTATCCTTTCTGGATATGGCTATGTTCACACACACGGCGTAAGGCTGGCTTAAGCATGGCATAGCGTACGCCTTTGCGTGTGAACTAGGCAGTGGCGTTGTTAAAGCCACTCACTACGCCACGTCCTTGGCGTTATTAACGCTACCTGCAGACCCCAGATTAGCTAACGCCACTGAGCTAACGCCAGTGATGCTTTAATGATTTCACCTCATTTCAAGAGATTGACCAATCACGATTGCAATATATTAGCTACTTTGGTCTCTTTCCTGTGCTCTCTATAAATGAAATGGTAAAGGGGTTCTTTTTCTATTGCATTTTACTTAGTTATAATGTGTATGATTTGATTGTGTTTTGTAAGATATTTTAACCTATTTAGACTGTCTATTAAAACCTGCAACACCAACAATGCTAGCTGAAAAATCAAAGTAAAATTGTTCATTTAAAATATGATAATCATTAAGTTCACTTCGAACAATTCACAGATTTAAAAGTTTTACTGATGCACTGTTAATTTTACTATCAGTTAAGAACCCGTACATTATTCAAAAACTATTCCCCAGCGTTAATATAGCGAACGCCGTTTGTGTGAACACTTTGGAATTTTAATCCGTGAATTAGCTTACACCTGGCGTAAGCTACGCCAGTCTTACGCCGTGTGTGTGTGAACATAGCCTATGTTTGGAGGGTTGGAGGCTGCCTCAGGCACAATAGCCCACAGCATGGTAGCTAGGTTCATATGGGATTATAGCCAGATGAAGTAGCTGATCTACTTGCCAAGTTAATTGGATTAAATCCACTAATCGCGTTCGACGTTAAGGTTTAGAGCGAGATTGACTACCAGAAATTCGGAAAACACATCACAGGAAGTACAATCGCATGGTGGGTAATTACTGTTGATTTTCGCGCGACTAGTTTATGCTAGATCGAGACTATAGGCGTAAGCTAGGCCTAGGTCTCGGCGGTTGATTAGACTGGCCGAGGAGTCCAACTGGAGGGTTTACACTGGGTTTTCCCCCAAGTATTTCGTTTAGTGCGTAGTAGTGTGGGCATGCCTATTTCGGGTCATTCCTTATTACATTGGCCGACCCCTTGCCCGTCCCACGAATAAAAACGTCTCTCACAGCCTTGTGTTCTGCTCTTAGATTTTTCAACTTTGTCACAACAATTGCCGATGTTATGCTATTGTGGCCTAAGTCCCGCATTCTCTCTGCCATCCTTTCGTGGACACCAGCCTTCTGACGATACAATTTATCTTCAACTTTTTCGGTGATTTCTGGCTCCCTCCAGATATCTATTAAATATTCCTGCGCATACGTCCAGAGTTGCCGTTTCTTTCCTGACTTTTCGGCCATCATTTGCAAAATAAGACTTGTTGAAATTAAAGTACACAGATCAGGGAGACTGCGTCAATTCTGAATGGTGTTTATGACAGTAACTAAAAAACGCGCTAACCAGCAAGCATGGAAGGTCACTTTGCTTCAATTTGATTGGTGCATTTGTGACCTGTGGCCACCCGCTGTTTAATTGTTTACTGGCTTTAGGCTGGATTAAGAAGTTAGTCGACATAAATTTACTCGACAGGCTTAGTCGAGTTGTGGCCTTCATCTCGCCATACTTGAGCGGTCATACTCAAACTTATGGCGAGATCATCTAGCTCATCCACTAAAATTATCTCGCCATAGTTGGATATGAACGGGGCTAATGTCAACTGACCTTACTTTTATGAGAAATATATTCAGATTAAGCACTTGAGTCTGCAATTTATTTTCATCCATGCCTTTGTACAGTGACATCGCTAGAGTAGTCCTCTCTTTATAAATTATATTATCCAATTTTTAAGCCAAAATATTAAGTTTATTTTTACAACGACATACCCCTATACACAATGGCTGCAGCTGAGCAGAGTTGGTGGACTGACGAAGTAGCCCAAACGTTAATTAACATATGGGGAACGACATCCATACAAGATGGTTTTGATGGAACCCGACGTAACATCGCTGTTTATAAAGAAATCGCATAGAAGATGCGGGAAATGGGTTATAACTTTACGCACGCACAGATAGTTACCAAATGCAAGCTGCGCAAAAAATACACCCAGGGAAAGTCAGGAAACCCCCCAACAGAATGGCCGTATTTTGAGATGAACGAAATTTTTGGCGATAGACCCATTTCTTGTCCACCACACACTCTTGACTCTTCATTATCAGCTCTGAACACTAGTGGAACTAGTAGTAAGTAGTAGTAGAAGTCCGTAGGCTATTTTTTTTCTTTGTTTTTTGTGATTTTCCCAGTTGGCCTAGGCTCTAGTTTCTAAGGCCTGGGTTTTTTTAGAATTGGTTGGAGTTCGCAACGTAGGAAAGGCGAGGTAATTCGTTGGGCTGAGGTCGGCAACGTATACACATTCAGAAAGATCGCATATCTTAACAGAACAGCATGCTGTATCGTGTATGACTGTGAAGTGTTATTGTTTACATGAAAGGCCTATGCATATTTTTCGAGTGATGGAACTTCCGGTCGGTATCCGAATAACTTGGGGTTCGTAAACGAACAATCTAATGACCTACCCTCTGGGCATTATGTCATTTTTGACTTATCCGGTTTCGTTGAAATTTCGTAAACACAACCTAAGTAAATGGTGTTTTAAAGAAACTAATTTGTTGTATTTTTACTATAGAAATTATAAAACATTGAGTCTATAAGACTCTTGATGAGTTGATTGTGTTGTTTTAAAAAACAGAAAAATGTTTTAAGCTACGGTGTATAGAAATACTGTAAACTCATTATTTCTAATTAACAATTTGCCCGCCCAACACGGAGATCTCTGTGTTTGGTAACGCAACGCTTGACTGCCAAACACGGAGATCTCCATGTTTCGGGTTTTTTAACAGTCAGATGGATGGGGTAATTACTGACATGTACTAACAATTTGAACATTATATTCAGTCTGGACCATAAGTATTTCACTATTTGTTTGTTTACATTAGCGTAAAGCGGTATTGATTTATTTTCACGAAATCGCGATTATCTTAGCTTTGTTGTACGAAATTGCGTAAATCTCCAAAAGTGAGTCATTTCATTTTACTGTTACGGGTCACAGATTGTGAGTAGAATAAAGTATTTTGTACCATTGTAAAGCTAAATTGTAGTTCTTGTACTGCTGTATTCAAGATAGTATAAAACATACTCCAAGTATCGAAATGAACGCCATCATGTCGGGATTTTGAATCTTGACACAATGGCAGGTATTTCGATACTTGGAGTATGTATTATACCATCTTATCTGAGATTAATCAGTGGACCTTTTGGTTTGTAGTATTTACTACATGTCAATCTGATCACATACTCACTCTCAACGAGCTTCGGAAAAGTGTTAAAATTTGCTATAAATTTTGACGGTGATGGATACTATTTTTTTAAACCCCTGGCGGTCAGAGTGTTAATATTGAATCCTCACTTCCTCTCTGACTTGTTGGTCAACTGATTTTAATATTGAAATAGTACTCTTTCTTTCATGCAGAAGGACCAGTATCACAGACTAAAAAGCCTCCTGAAGCAGATTTTGCTGCTTTTAAGCAGGAAAAATTGAAGGATTTTGCGCCATTGCACCAAGAAGGTGGAGGTAGGGGTGCTTCATCTTCACAAACTGGACAAGAAGGAACTTTGGTATTTGGTGACCAACAAACAGTACGTTTTAGCTCAGTGATGTAGATTACGGTAACTCCAGGAGCAAAATCAGAAGAAGAATCTCAATAATAATAATGATATTAATAATAATAGCAATAACAATAAAAACAGTAAATAATAATAATAATAATAATAATAATATTAAATGCATTTATTATGTGCCATTAAACCTATTCCGATTCCCACAAAAAAACATACATAACACAAAACTAAGATCCCAATAAAAATTATACTAAATAATTGAGAGATGACAAAAACTTCATTATAAATGGGGTACTATTCAATGTTCACAACTGGGCTAAACCAGCCTAGTTGCCAAATCTTTGTGTACAAAGTGATTACAGGTGAATGAATCTACACATCCAAACCCACCATAAAAACCATACAAAGATGTCCACCCACAATTTCCAAGAGGTTTTACTGTAATTATCCGACAATAAGAAAACGGTAGCACTTTATAGACTAGTTGAAATATGTATTGTCACAAGCTTTTGTGTACACAGTACACTTCTTCAGGTGAATGATAAGAGGAGCAACATGCAATCGAATATAAAAGGTCTAAAACAAAAGGCAAGTAATAAAAACAATAGAGGTATTAACATAACAATGAAATCGTTCCCTGTAGTGGGCAAAAAAGCCATCCGCTTAGAAGATTGGCGAGACAAATGGCCAAGTGGCTAAGGCAGAGGGCGCCGCAATCTATAGTTATAACACAATGGTTCTGGTGGTGGAACAATTCTTCTAGGATAAGGACTCTAAGCCGTAAGCCCAGTGTACGCATTTGGCTTCTGTGCACTTTAAGAACCCGCGAGAAAAGTAAGGGTACCCCGATGTATTGGTCCATTTTTAGCCCGTCATTATAGACAGACAAAAGTGTGCCTCTTGGCAGCTAATTGGACATGATGTGACCCTTGGGGGAGAAGGAAGTATAATACAGGCCTGTGTGCATCTCAGCCTAGTTAAAAGCTGCAAGTCACAGGTTATTCTCCTACCTTTTACAGCTTTATAGCTAAATCAGAATTGTTTCTCTTAATCCAACCAGCAAAATAGTCTATTTTGATTTTTTTAAATATAAATAAATAAATTCAAATAAACATCTTTTTTTTTTTTTAAGAATTCGAATGATGATAGAAAGGGTAGCGAGAAAGGTGATATGCCCAGAAAATCTGCTGGAAGTACTCAGTAAGTAAACCTCATTTACACTTGAAAAAATGCCAGTTCATGACCACTGTTCTGTGATTATAAGCAGAAGATTTGAAATTTCATTTACAATGATCAATTGCCACTGCTTCCATTGACTCGATTACTACCGTATATTCTCATGTATAAAATAATTTGAATATAAGATGACCCCTGAGTTTAAAAAGATTTTTGGACAATTTTTGTTTCACTGTCGAAATTCCTACTGTACAGTACCTTTAGCTGCAATTTATGGTCTTGATACCGCATCTAGCTGGCTAAAAACAGAGCCAAATGTAGGGCTAATCTTCCAAATAATACCATTTAATGGGCTTTAAAATGTTATAAAAACTTATATACCAACGTTTAAAATCGCGTTCATTACTAACAATTAGTAGCTTAATATCAGTAGTAGAGTAAATTTGTGTGTTATGGATAATCCACACATAAGACGGAGACAATTTAAAAATAAAAAATCTGTATGTTATGTTTGCGCATATACGACAATCCTCTGTTTTTTCGATTATAATTTGCAATTTTAAGCTTTGTCTTATACGCAAGAATATACAGTACGGTAGTCGCATACAATACCGGCTTTTTGATCAAAATTGTAAACACAAAATATTTATGAGACTGTCAGTACTCTGAAATTGGTCCTATGGTAAATATTCCAATAAGCTCTATCCTCAATTAAGCACCACAATGTTTATTAGAAATATATACTGTTTAAATAAAGGTCATATGATGCTTAATAGAGAGTGCATATTGTACATATTTTGATTCTTTTTATTATTGGGACACTATTAAATATTTGATTTCTTACAATAAATACTAAAGTTGAAACCAGTCAATTAGGCTTCATAAATACAGTAATTATTATTGTAGTAATACTGATTTTGAATGAGCACAAGCAAATGCAGCACTTAAGCCATCAAAACACTATAAAGTTTAACAATTACAGTATACTATATTCAAGAAGCAAAATATGTAATATAGATTTACACTCATTACATATATTACAGTAGGAATGTTTTCATTGTGTTTTGTTAATAGTATACATCTCTTTGTTTTTAGCAAAATAATTAAGCAATAGTGAATGCTTTAGGTATTAAACAAATATAATGAAATGTAAATACATCTAAACCATTTGATTAAAATATTCAAAACAAAATAAAAACATCATATGGTATCATTTGTATGACTAAATGTTGAAATTTTATAGCAAATTTATTTTCAGGAAAAAAGGAATGCATGTACCAAATGCTCTAAGGGACTTGAAGGAAGGAGAAATGATGACAATACATTTCCATTCAATTCTTGCACCTGAATTCCAATTCAATGGCGAAACTGATACAGTTTACATTCGTTTTGGTTCGAAAGACTTAGGAAACTTTCAATACAATGCCGTTAAAATGGTTCCAGTAAAGTAAGTATCAGCAGGGAAGAATCCAATGGGCGGCAGCAGGTTTTGCCAATACATACCAAAGCCATATATTGAAATATGAAATTTTAAAAAATGGCTTCTATGCTGTTGCGGCAAAAGCCAGCTACGTAGTCATGTTTACAGGTAAAGCACCAGTAAAATATTTAGTCCCCGAGTGGTAGAGTTGAAGCATTTTGGTAGAAGTGTAGTGGCTGAGTTATGATACTTTTTTGTTTTACATAAGTTGGATCTGCAAGGGGATATGACTTCTTCAGCTGCCGACACCTTCGGCTGCACGAGATTTATATGGAGCGCCAGTTGGGCATTTCTCCACACCGCATACTGTGGCGGCGTATGCCTAACTTTAAGCCTTTGCTAAACTAAATAATTGCTGTCATGTCGCACAGTAATATTTACGTATTTATTTTAGGTATTGTATGTATATAATAATTGCTTTCATGTACAGTATTATTTACTTATTTATTTCAGGTATGTGGATTTCTTTTTAAGTGTCTTACATTGAAGAATTGTAAAGCTTCAGTATTTTGTTTTACAGAACAGTATTGTTTAATTATACAATTTGAAACTGTAGGCCTATTCATTGTACAGTAATTCATATTTCCAGTATAAGTACAGTATAAGCTCCAGTGTTTTATTTATTTTGCAGTACAGTATCTTTATTCATTAATTTGAAACTGTATTCAATATTGTACAGTAATTCATCATAAATTAAAAGGTCTCTCCCTCCAGTATGTGATTTGTTAATAAGACTGGAACTTACATTTTCAGCTGACATTCAACGTTTAAGAAAGAAAAGCAAATTTCAACATAAGGTAATGTTTATTCACAAATATAATTATTCAGTGTACAGTTTTATGCATTTATACATCATTGTATATAATAATTAGCAGTACATAGTTGATACAGATTTACATTTGTTTTCATTTTAAATTAATTATTTAAATCTCACTTAAATCTGCAATATTAAGGCCTAAAGATGAAATGCAATTACTGTAATACTATCAATACACATTAAAACTTAATACAGTTGTAAGCTAAGCATTAAAACAATTATAATTAATTAAATTTATATATACAACTAATAAACTGATATAAAAATAGTACAGTACTACAT